ATACACTAAAAAATATACACACACTACACCGAAAACACACGATAAAAAAATATACACACACTACACCGAAAATACACTATAAAAAAAATTACACATACTACACCGAAAACACACACTAAAAAAAATACACACACCAAAAAAAATTACACACACTACACTGAAAACACTCACCAAAAAAATTACACACACTACACCGAAAACACACAGTACACCGAAAACACACACTTAAAAAAATACACGCAATACACTGAAAACACACACTAAAAAGAATTACACACACTAAAAATATACACACACTACACCGAAAACACATACTAAAAAAAAATACACACACTACACCAAAAACACACACTAAAAAAACACACAGAACTACACCGAAAACACACACTAAAAAAATACACATACGACTGTTAACCACAAATTTTTCCGTCTGCAAAATATATAAATATTCGAGACAAGCAAGTTGGGAACAAATAAATTATTATTAATCAAACGAAAGCGGGTTACAATCTCCGTGAATTCCCCTGGTTCTTCTCTCCTATTCTAATTTTGTTTCAAGGGCTTAAAAGCTTGTTCTTGAATCGAACGAATGATCTCCTATATGTGTCTGTGTGAGTCTGTCTTTTTAGATGCATCGAAGCCGTCTTTTTATAGCCGCGAGCTTGGGTTTCTTGACTTGTAGGATGGGCCGGTCATTTGTAAAGCCCAAATATATTATGAACTTTGAGTGACACCCAATTTAATAATTGATTTATTGGATTATTAATTGGTATTTTATCTCAAATTTTGATGTCTACAAATATCTTCTATCGCAGGCCGGCATGAATACTCGGAGAGTTGGTGCAGGTGCAATTAATATATACTAAGAACAAAACCCCACTATAAATTTTCTATTTTCGCACTTTCCCCCCTAAAAATTCGGAAAATGGATATTCCCCCGTCGAAATATTATTTTGGTTGCATTTTGTCCCATAAGCCAATTTTTTGAAGACACTGTGCAACAAAAATAACATTTAAAGAAGTAATGTGCACAAAAAATACACAATTCCGATAAATAATCCATTGGAGTTTTGTTATCGGGGCAATGTGCAACAAGAATAACATTTTGAAGGGGGAAATTCACTTTTAAAATTGTTGAGGGGGTAAAGTGTGAAAATTAGAAATTTACAGGGGGTGATGCGCAATTTTCCCTATACTAAATAAGCATAAAAAACATATAACACAAAAATATACTCTTCTTGATTTTATGAGCTACAAAAATATACATGTAGCAGAGACACGGAAACGACGATACGAAGAAACGAGAAAACGGATACGAGGAAACGGCATGTGCAAAAATGGATATATGGGAACTTGGGAGAAACGTTTAAATATAAAAATTATAAGAGTATATTTATAAATATACTATATAAACATATACAAGTTTTTATTTATATGTAATTTGTTATATATATTTTTTCATACAAATATATTCAAAATAAATATTACTATCAACTATCAATTTGCAATTGATCATTAAATCATGTAATTAATTAGAGAAGCAACAAAAATATTTGAAAATTCGCTATTCAAACATGTGTCTAAATTTTTAGAAATTATAAAATGACCCTTAAGGTGTTCGGCAGGTATCCTCAAGTGTCGGACACGAAACGTTTCTAAAACGCGGATAAGTTAAGAAGCTGAAGTCTCCATGCTATATAGGATAATATAACAAATCCAGATAATCTTTTATTTGTTGTCATAGCACATAGAATTTTTGCAGCATATATAAAGATGTTATTACACATTTATTACAACATCAGTTTATCATTTGGACCTTTTTATTTTTCTACTCTTGCAACCTAAACTGACGAAGCCCGGATTCTTCAATCGACCTCGACATAAACTTTGAAATATAATCAATCACCGTAAACTCCTTATACCGAGGTGGATTCTTCTCCGATACCACCTCATTAATCGGAGCATACACATTTTCCGGCGAAGAACTACCCGAGAAGAATCCAGCAA